GAGGAAGGGGGAGGGGATTGCGGGATTAGAGTGTCAGCTCCTGTGTATATCTGGTGTACTCGCACACAATGGAGGAAGGGGGAGGGGTATATTGCGGGATTAGAGTGTCAGCTCCTGTGTATATCTGGTGTACTCGCACACAATGGAGGAAGGGGGAGGGTATATTGCGGGATTAGAGTGTCAGCTCCTGTGTATATCTGGTGTACTCGCACACAATGGAGGAAGGGGGAGAGGTATATTGTGGGATTAGAGTGTCAGCTCCTGTGCATATCAGTGGAGGATGAGGGAAGGGAGGTGTGGATATGCGGCACTGTCATGGTATCCGGTGTTGGCTCCGTGTTGGCTCGGGGACAATGGGACATTCCTGGAATATTTACATCTTCTGGCATCTGAAGCAGAATGAGAAAATATCCGAAAGGTTTGAAAAACCCCTGAGATGCCGGGAATGAGTGCAGGCTCTTGTGGAACTACAAATCCCATGTGGGCAGCCACAGAGCATGCTGGGAGTTGTAGTTCCACACCTGCCCGGGTCAGGCCACTGTCCCCTCCTTCATATATTATATGAGAGGTGTGCAGGAGCAGAGCAGGGAACTCCGGGGTCCCAGGTACATAGAGCGAGGACCTCCGGGGTCCCAGGTACACAGAGCGGGGACCTCCGGGGTCCCGGGTACACAGAGCGGGGACCTCCGGGGTCCCGGGTACACAGAGCGGGGACCTCCGGGGTCCCGGGTACACAGAGCGGGGACCTCCGGGGTCCCGGGTACACAGAGCGGGGACCTCCGGGGTCCCGGGTACACAGAGCGGGGACCTCCGGGGTCCCTACCGGGGTCCCGGGGGGTACACAGAGCGAGGACCTCCGGGGTCCCGGGTACCAGAGCGGGTACACAGAGCGAGGACCTCCGGGGTCCCGGGTACCAGAGCGGGTCCCGGGTACACAGAGCGAGGACCTCCGGGGTTCCGGGTACACAGAGCGAGGACCTCCGGGGGTTCCGGGTACACAGAGCGAGGACCTCCGGGGTCCCCAGGTACACAGATGACGTTCCTCCATCCTGGATCCTGTGTTCTCCATCTCAGGAATGTGGCTGGAGATGTTGGTCCATATATACCAGACATTCCTCCTGTATACTACATGTGTGTGACATATGTGAGCCCCCCCCCCCCCCCCCCCCCCCACACACACACACCAGTATTCCCAGTTCTTCCAGCGTCCTCCCTGGCCGGTCCCCGCACATGGGACTGGAACCTCCTCCATGTCCCCGACACAGACGGTCAGACCCCAAAACAGCCATAATTACTGCGACAGGAAGGAGACTGAGGAACCGTGTTCAGAACAGACGGACTATCCCTCCCGAGAACCCCTGAGGTCACCTCCGACTATGGTCCCTATACAGTCCTGTATGGTTACTAGAGGGCGTTATGGTCCCTATACAGTCCTGTATGGTTACTAGAGGGTGTTATGGTCCTTATACAGACTTGTATGGTTACTAGATGGTGTTATGGTCCCTATACAGTCATGTATGATTACTAGATGGTGTTATGGTCCCTATACAGTCCTGTATGGTTACTAGATGGCGTTATGGTCCCTATACAGTCCTGTATGGTTACTAGATGGCGTTATGGTCCCTATACAGACTTGTATGGTTACTAGATGGCGTTATGGTCCCTATACAGTCCTGTATGGTTACTAGATGGCGTTATGGTCCCTATACAGACTTGTATGGTTACTAGATGGCGTTATGGTCCCTATACAGTCCATGTATGATTACTAGATGGTGTTATGGTCCCTATACAGTCCTGTATGGTTACTAGAGGGCGTTATGGTCCCTATACAGTCCTGTATGGTTACTAGATGGTGTTATGGTCCTTATACAGACTTGTATGGTTACTAGATGGTGTTATGGTCCCTATACAGTCATGTATGATTACTAGATGGTGTTATGGTCCCTATACAGTCCTGTATGGTTACTAGATGGCGTTATGGTCCCTATACAGTCCTGTATGGTTACTAGAGGGCGTTATGGTCCCTATACAGTCCTGTATGGTTACTAGATGGCGTTATGGTCCCTATACAGTCCTGTATGGTTACTAGATGGCGTTATGGTCCCTATACAGACTTGTATGGTTACTAGATGGCGTTATGGTCCCTATACAGTCCTGTATGGTTACTAGAGGGCGTTATGGTCCCTATACAGTCCTTGCAGCCATTTACTTGATATACTTTGTAGTTACTCTGAAGAGGATACAAGAAGGTGATAAGTTTAGCTTTCACCTCAAGGAAGCCGCTGTTTTCTTGGGGTCTACAGGTCTATGTGAGGCTACGCGGGTCTATGTGAGGCTACACGGGTCTATGTGAGGCTACGCGGGTCTATGTGAGGCTACACGGGTCTATGTGAGGCTACACGGGTCTATGTGAGGCTACACGGGTCTATGTGAGGCTACACGGGTCTATGTGAGGCTACGCGGGTCTATGTGAGGCTACGCGGGTCTATGTGAGGCTACACGGGTCTATGTGAGGCTACACGGGTCTATGTGAGGCTACATGGGTCTATGTGAGGCTATGCGGGTCTATGTGAGGCTACGCGGGTCTATGTGAGGCTACATAACACTATACGGGTCTATGTGAGGCTACACGGGTCTATGTGAGGCTACACGGGTCTATGTGAGGCTACACGGGTCTATGTGAGGCTATACGGGTCTATGTGAGGCTACATAACACTATACATACGGGGTCTATGTGAGGCTACGTGGGTCTATGTGAGGCTACGCGGGTCTATGTGAGGCTACGCGGGTCTATGTGAGGCTACGCGGGTCTATGTGAGGCTACACGGGTCTATGTGAGGCTACGCGGGTCTATGTGAGGCTACACGGGTCTATGTGAGGCTATACGGGTCTATATGTGAGGCTATACAGGTCTATGTGAGGCTATACAGGTCTATGTGAGGCTACACGGGTCTATGTGAGGCTACATAACACTATATGGGTCTATGTGAGGCTACACGGGTCTATGTGAGGCTACGCGGTCTATGTGAGGCTACGCGGGTCTATGTGAGGCTACGCGGGTCTATGTGAGGCTACGCGGGTCTATGTGAGGCTACATAACACTATATGGGTCTATGTGAGGCTACGCGGGTCTATGTGAGGCTATACAGGTCTATGTGAGGCTATACAGGTCTATGTGAGGCTACGCGGGTCTATGTGAGGCTACGCGGGTCTATGTGAGGCTACGCGGGTCTATGTGAGGCTACACGGGTCTATGTGAGGCTACACAGGTCTATGTGAGGCTACACGGGTCTATGTGAGGCTACACGGGTCTATGTGAGGCTACATAACACTATACGGGTCTATATAAAACCATAACAGACTCCTCAGGACTATATAAGGACAGGATTGGTGGCGGGAAGAATACAGAGGAGAGGAAACAATAGAAAGAAATGTGACCCCCAGAGACGGGAATGAGGAAATATTTCTATAGAGCCAGACATTGTCACTGCAAGAGTTCACCCAACAATCATGGCACACGGAACCCCAATACTGAGACACAGAACCCCAATACTGAGACACAGAACCCCAATACTAATACATGGAACCCCAATACTGAGACACAGAACCCCAATACTAATACATGGAACCCCAATACTAATACATGGAACCCCAATACTGAGACACAGAACCCCAATACTAATACATGGAATTCCAAAACTTACATATAGAACCCCAATACTGATATAAAGAACCCTAACATTGATGCATAGAACCCCAATACTGACATACAGAGCCCCAATACTGACATATGGAACCCCAATACTGACATATGGAACCCAATACTGAGACACAGAACCCCAATACTGAGACCACAGAACCCCAATACTAATACATGGAACCCCAATACTGAGACACAGAACCCCAATACTAATACATGGAACCCCAATACTGAGACACAGAAACCCAATACTGAGACACAGAACCCCAATACTGACATGCAGACACAGAACCCCAATACTGCAGAACTCCAATACTGAGACAGAACCCCAATACTGAATACATGGAATCCAATACTGGCAAAAAATACATATAGAACCCCAATACTGATATAAAGAACCCTAATATTGATGCATAGAACCCCAATACTGACATACAGAGCCCCAATACTGACATATGGAACCCCAATACTGACATATGGAGCCTAATACTGACACATGGAACCCAATACTGACACAGAACCCCAATACTGACACACAGAACACCAATACTGACACATGGAACCCTAATTCTGGCACACAAACCCCAAAACTGACATACTGACCAAATACTGAGACAGAAACCCAATACTGAGACATAGAACCCCAATACTGACATGCAGAACCCCAATATGACTGAGACAGAACCCAATACTACTGACATGCATAACCCCAATACTGGCATACTGAGCCCCATACTGAGAACCCCATAGAGACAAACCCCGATATCCCAATACTGACATATTGAGCCCAATACTGAGACAGAACCCCAATACCCACATGAAGAATCCCAATACTGACATATTGAGCCCAATACTGAGACAGAACCCCAATACCCACATGAAGAAGCCCCCAATACTGACATATTAAGCCCAATACTGAGACAGAACCCCAATACCCACATGAAGAACCCCAATACTGACATATTGAGCCCAATACTGAGACAGAACCCCAATACCCACATGAAGAACCCCAATACTGCCACACAGACCCTGAATTTAGGACAGACAGTGTCTTCAATGATCAGTGCCATCTTCTCGTTTGACCATCACAGGGATTCCAGAATTTACAGCTTCAGTCTAATTTAGAATCGATTGATGAGGTGAGAAGGATTATTGATCCCGGGAGGACTATCAGGTGATCAGGAACAGATCCCAGAACAGGGTGGAGAGGATCAGACAGGGAAGAGCGAGATGAAGAGTTTTCACCAAACTGGGGCCATTGTCAGACTGTTGCTGACACCGATGTCTTCTTCTCCCTCAGGGCCGTCTTTACGTATGAAAGAAAATGGAGCCTGAAGCTGATGGATTCTGGAGGTAAGTCGGAGATCCCCGTGTGTCCTTCCTGTGTCTGCTGGCCGTGAGTCCCGAGTCTTCTACCTTGTCTGTCTCCTTCTGATTGAGGTCACCTGCCCCCCCGCCCCACACTGCAAGGGTTCAATACTCCGTAAGTCTGGAGTGGGCAGGATTGCTTACCATCTATGGACTGTGGCCAATCTCTTGGCATCATCATTGATCCTACATTGTATGTGGAGGGGCAAGCATGCAACCACGGCCATGAGCGTCTGAGGGAGGAGGCCTATGGGAAGATGGACACAAACTGGAGCCGCTCTTCATCAAGCAGACCAGGCTGTGTCTGTATGTTCCTCGGCCCTTGGTGGTGCTCAGAGGATGCACAGTGGAAGGGGGCCTCTGGGAAACTGGGGGTCATAGAGGCGTTGGAGGGCCAAACCCAGCAGGAGCTGTAATGTAGTATATTTTCCAGTAGACTTGGTTTGGGGGGCGGAGTCTGTTGGCCTTGGCCTTGGTGTTGGCAGTGGCTAATCTACTGTGATGGCAGAAGGTACATCTGAGTCTTCATGGTTGGTCAGAGTTGCATTAGAGGAGAGACCATTGTCTACCTGCAGAATCCATGTCTGTAAGTCGTTTAAAGGAAATCTGCAGTTGTAAGTTGCCATACTGAATCTACGTGACTTTCAAGTCTCAAAATCCAAACAAGCATGCAGCCAGTGAAGTTAGATTTGTTCTGGTCAGCTACCTAGAAGCAGATGATCAGGATGACAGCCAGGCAGCTAGCTTTTCCAGAAGGAAGTCACATTCCCAGTCAGAATGCTCAGAGGCTATTGGCTGGCCTCAGTGCTGCCATGACATCATCACACCAGACCCGTGATGTGATTGGTGGAAGGGTAGACTTCTAGTGATAGATGGTCTGTAGATGGGGTGATGGGGTACAGGGAAGTAGATGGTCACATGCCATCTTCATCCTGATGTAGTGAGGACAGAATGGAAGGATTTTGCAGGACTGTCCCAGATGGTATTTTCCAGTAACAGACAGTAGGTGGCCAATGCGTGGAAAATCCACTACAAGTTCCAGCAATACATTCCAGATGATTGGTCACCATACTTGTGTAGGTATTCCCAGTGGCCCCCTTACCAGCACACTGTCCTGGAGTTGCTCAGGGTGTTGGTGTCTTTTGGATTTGGCGCCCCATCTTTGGTAGGTCACTGACCTACATGTGTGTGTGCTGGTAAAGCCACCAGGCAGATCCCTGGTGGCCCTTTCCAAGGTTGGTGACCCTCCATCGTCTTGTGTAGGCCAGGTATCTATGTCCTAGCAGTCTGCTCACAATTCCCACCATTTCAGGGACTCGAAAATCAGAGGCCGCTCTCTAGAAACACGGCCGAGGATGGCGGAGGAGGCCTTCACCACTGTGGGAACCAGGAGATAGAGATCTGTGGTTTCCATGTGGCTCAGAAACTTCATCCAAGGGGACACGTCTGCCGGATGCAGAGCCGTCCGTGTTCAGATATAGCATTAGACAGTGAAGGAAATGCGCATTGCTCCCCCTGATGCTGAATGTTCGCCCCTCACACAGAAATGATCGGTCTAACAATGGAATGTTCGCCCCTCACACAGAAATGATCGAATGTTCTAACAATGGAATGTTCGCCCCTCACACAGAAATGATCGGTCTAACAATGGAATGTTCGCCCCTCACACAGAAATGATCGGTCTAACAATGGAATGTTCGCCCCTCACACAGAAATGATCGGTCTAACAATGGAATGTTCGCCCCTCACACAGAAATGATCGGATCGGTCTAACAAATGGAATGTTCGTCCCTCACACAGAAATGATCGGTCTAACAATGGAATGTTCGCCCCTCACACAGAAATGATCGGTCTAACAATGGATGTTCGCCCCTCACACAGAAATGATCGGTCTAACAATGGGATGTTCGCCCCTCACACAAAAATGATCGGTCTAACAATGGAATGTTCGCCCCTCACACAGAAATGATCGGTCTAACAATGGAATGTTCGCCCCCACACACAGAAACGATCGGTCTAACAATGGAATGCCCCCCCTCACACAGAAATGATCGGTCTAACAATAGAATGTCGTCCCCCCACACAGAAATGATCGGTCTAACAATGGAATGTTCGCCCCTCACACAGAAATGATCAGTCTAACAATGGAATGTTCCCCCTCACACAGAGAAACGATCGGTCTAACAATGATATGTTCGGTGTAACACTGAGAGACAGAATACAACAACAAATTCAGCAGAAATGCGTCTAACAAATGATGACGGATCTGCATGTTCATGAGGGAAAGAAGGATTTGATCCCTATCATTCAGCAGGATTTCTGGCTCCCAGGTGTCTCTCATACAGGTAACAAGCTGAGATTAGAAGCAGTCTCTTAAAGGGAGTGCTGCTAATCTCATTGTGTTACCTGTATAAAAGACACCTGTCCACAGGAGCCATCAAACCATCAGATTCCAAACTCTCCACCATGGCAAAGACCAAAGAGCTGTCCAAGGATGTCAGGGACAAGATGGTAGACCTACACAAGGCTGGACTGGGCTACCAAACTATGGCCAAGCAGCTTGGTGAGAAGGTGACAACAGTTGGTGCAATCATTCACAAATGGAAGAAACACAAAACAAGTGTCATCTCCCTAGGTCTGGTGCACCATGCAAGATCTCCCCTCGTGGAGTGTCAATGATCATGAGAACAGTGAGGAATCATCCCAGAACTACACGTGAGGATCTTGTCAATGATCTCCAGGCAGCTGGGGACCACAGTCACCAAGAAAACAATTGGTAACACACTACGCCGACAAGGACTGAAATCCTGCAGTGCCGCACGGTCCCCTCTGCTCAAGAAAGCCCATGTCCAGGCCCGTCTGAAGTCTGCCACTGAACATCTGAATGATGCCGAGGAGGACTGGTGGGAAGTGTTGTGGTCAGAGGAGACCAAAATCCAGCTCTCTGGCATCAACTCAACTTGCCGTGTTTGGAGGAGGAGGAATGCTGTCTATGACCCCAAGAACACCATCCCAACTGTGAAACATGGTGGTGGAAACATTCTGCTTTGGGGGTGTTTTTCTGCTAAGGGGACAGGACAACTGCACCGCATCAAAGGGACGATGGACGGGGCAATGTACCCTCAAATCGTGGGTGAGAACCTTCTTCCCTCAGCCAGGGCATTGAAATGGGTGGTGGATGGGTGTTCCAGCATGACAATGACCCAAAACACACGGCCAAGGCAACAAAGGAGCGGCTCAAGAAGAAGCACATTAAGGTCCCGGAGTGGCCTAGCCAGTCTCCACACCTTCATCCGATGGAAAATCTGTGGAGGAGCTGAAAGTTCGAGTTGCCAAACGTCAGCCACCAAACCTTAATGACTTGGAGAGGATCTGCCAAGAGGAGTGGGCCAAAATCCCTCCTGAGATGTGTGCGAACCTGGGGGCCAACTCCAGGAAACGTCTGACCTCTGTGATTGCCAACAAGGGATTGGCCACCAAGTACTAAGTCATGTTTTGTGAAGGGGATCAAATCCTTCTTTCCCTCATGAACATGCAGATCCGTCATCATTTGTTAGACGCATTTCTGCTGAATTTGTTGTTGTATTCTGTCTCTCAGTGTTACACCGAACATTCATTGTTAGACCGATCATTTCTGTGTGAGGGGCAAACATTCCATTGTTAGACCGATCATTTCTGTGTGAGGGGGAACATTCCATTGTTAGACCGATCATTTCTGTGTGAGGGGCGAACATTCCATTGTTAGACCGATCGTTTCTGTGTGAGGGGCGAACATTCCATTGTTAGACCGATCATTTCTGTGTGAGGGGCGAACATTCCATTGTTAGACCGATCGTTTCTGTGTGAGGGGCGAACATTCCATTGTTAGACCGATCGTTTCTGTGTGAGGGGCGAACATTCCATTGTTAGACCGATCGTTTTCTGTGTGAGGGGCGAACATTCCATTGTTAGACCGATCATTTCTGTGTGAGGGGCAAACATTCCATTGTTAGACCGATCATTTCTGTGTGAGGGGCAAACATTCCATTGTTAGACTGATCATTTCTGTGTGAGGGGCAAACATTCCATTGTTAGACCGATCATTTCTGTGTGAGGGGCGAACATTCCATTGTTAGACCGATCATTTCTGTGTGAGGGGCGAACATTCCATTGTTAGACCGATCGTTTCTGTGTGAGGGGCGAACATTCCATTGTTAGACCGATCGTTTCTGTGTGAGGGGCGAACATTCCATTGTTAGACCGATCGTTTCTGTGTGAGGGGCGAACATTCCATTGTTAGACCGATCGTTTCTGTGTGAGGGGCGAACATTCCATTGTTAGACCGATCGTTTCTGTGTGAGGGGCGAACATTCCATTGTTAGACCGATCGTTTCTGTGTGAGGGGCGAACATTCCATTGTTTAGACCGATCGTTTCTGTGTGAGGGGCGAACATTCCATTGTTAGACCGATCGTTTCTGTGCGAGGGGCGAACATTCCATTGTTAGACCGATCGTTTCTGTTTTTGCGAGCGAGCGAGGGGCGAACATTCCATTGTTAGACCGATCGTTTCTGTGCGAGGGGCGAACATTCCATTGTTAGACCGATCATTTCTGTGCGAGGGGCGAACATTCCATTGTTAGACCGATCATTTCTGTGCGAGGGGCGAACATTCCATTGTTTAGACCGATCATTTCTGTGTGAGGGGCGGACATTCCATTTGTTAGACCGATCATTTTCTGTGTGAGGGGCGAACATTCCATTGTTAGACCGATCCTTTCTGTGTGAGGGGCGAACATTCAGCATCAGAGGGGGGCAAATACACATTTCCTGCACTGTATATACCAGTCTATAGAGAACATTCCAGATGCAGAGCCGCACCGAGGGGTATACAGACATACAAGATATTCCTTCATTCTGAAATCATGGGTCCAGCGTGTGGACAGACAGACAACAACATACATGACACGTGGCGGAGGAACATGCTATCCTGCACACATCAGAGCGA